TCCAGCCCCTTTTAAACGGTTTTTGGAAACCTTTTTTAACTTTGGAAACACCGATGCACGCAGTTTCTTCACCTCAGGCCTCTTTTCACTTTGGAAACACCGATGCACGCAGTTTCTTCACCTCAGTCGCACTAGTTTCGATCATGTCTTCCATTTTCCACTATAATCTGGATTACCCAAAATTATCATGAACTGTGCCTTAAATGTGATCTGAAAAGCAGTCAATTATTTTTTTGAGTCACAGCTTCCTCACTTCTGAAGAGATGGCATCAGTGATTGGCTCAAAGTATAATAGAAGGTTGCTGACTTCTTGGTAAACATATTTCCGAAATTGATCGATATGAAAAATTTTAGAAATGATTTAAAAAAGATCTCCATTTTGTCGCGAGACTTTTTTTGCCAACCTATAAAACTGTCTCGGATAAACTTGGCAAAAAAGAAGTCTTCATTCATAACACTACATATTGAGCACGACAAGAACTTTTCAAAGCGTAAAAAAATGAAAAATGAGGCACATATGCGTCACAAAATGTACATGTACTCTACTAGTACTCTTCGGACATGACATGATATTAACCAAGTTTTTACTTTAGTTAATATCCAGTTCATCTTATGGCACTGAATTCATATGACATTGTAGTAGGCTAGTCACTCAAATTGAGATAGTATGACCAGTAGATAATGTTAAAAATAGTGAACAGACATGGAAATGCTATCATGCTTATACGGTCTATACGATCCGTCGACCACCCTCTTCCTGTCGATGGCCCGAATGGCTTGCCTTCACAGTCGTCCAACAAAAGCATCTTCTCTGGAGTCCTTTAAAAATTAGTTTCGATTTAGCTAGAAATCCTTGACCATGATAGTGCTCGCTTAGCAAATTTATAGAGTACTGTAGAGATATGGAGTGTGGGATCTCCTCCATTAAGAGCGTGTCGAATACGGTAATTGCACTTTGAAGCCGCGAGAAAACAGACAAGATTTGCAGCGTGCGTACGTGAGAACTGGGGAAGAAGCGCCACCCAAAAAAATGCTCACTAACTTACTGTACTATGTCGGCAGATGTTCTTGAAATTGAACCAGGTTTAGCCAAAAGCACCTTTTTTCGCATACGTGGATCTTGAATGATAGGCTAGTAAGATACACTGCAGTTCACTGTAACCTAAGTTATAACTCATTTGGGCTTATACCTACATACTCACTCACCAGTCGTTCCGTAACTCCGAAATCCATGTGGTGAATCGGACTGTATGTGATTTCGACAAATACGCGGTGATGTACAAGAGGAGGAGCGCGATCGTAGAGTCAACCCTGCTGCTTTTGACTGAATTTGGGATGTGAATTTACTGCTAGGAATGTCGTTACTGTTACTTTAATTTGATCGAAATATTCAAAGTTGTACGTATGTAGGTTTCACGAAGGGCAATTTCTAGGAGTTCTGTGCGACAAAAAATAATGCACCAGTATTACATTTCATGTGTTCTTCGGATCAAGAAATTCAGTAAATTGAAAGTGGTCCGGAGAGGAAAAGATCGCTCACGCGGTTGCTCATATAGATCATCCAGCATAATGAATCCGAATCAAACTATGTAAAAGCCCTTGCGATACCTCAGTTTTGGCTCCTATTGCTCCTATAACAGCCAATTCCAGCAATGACGAGAAGACAAACGTCAAACAAACTAACATCCAAACATCTGCAAAAAAAGGCAGTCTGAAATGGAGCGAGAGTGGGCCGAAAGATAGATCCTACCGAGAGCCTTCACATAGCTAACTCGAGGAAGATTCCGCATTATATTCCCAAATTGAAAGGTCAACGCCAGAAGAGAGTTCACACCAAGCATCGTTCGAGCAGGTATCATCTTCGGGCCAAGGCAGAAGCTTATCCAACTCAAAAATTGCATCTAATTTTAGGTACAAACCAGCTATTATGGCGTAGGGTTGGCACGAAAGTTTTGCGACAAAAAATTCGAAGTCTTGAAAGTTTGTATAAACAATGTGAACACGGTAGCGACGGGATAACTACTGGAGCATTTTCCTGGCAATCAAAACATGAGCAAATAAGGCACACGCGTAGGCTTTCGCAGCATTACCAGTGGACAACACCCAGTTCGTATCATCACCTTTTCCCAGGCGTCCCAAGGGTACCAAGGCGACGCTTGCTTTACTTCGGTGGCCAGGACCTCTTATAGTGAAGCAGCTTAAATTATCAGCAACCTATTAGACGCTAGCATTGCTCACCGGACAATGGTCAACACTATAAAAGATCCTAGCCTTCGAAGTAAAGCAAGCATCATACCATAGTTTTCTAAGGTGTGGAAGAACTCGACCATTATGAGTTGCTAAGCATAGACTAGATAGTCACAGCGGTCTACTAACCCTATGAACTCCAGTGTTTGAAAAAAGCGGTAAGAGAAAGACGTCCATAACAATATATTGGTCCCTACAGAAGGATTTCACCGGACACGCTTCGTTCCAGGTTGTTCATTGGTCGTACTCCCGGGAACGTTCTCCCGTCTCATGATCATGAGCTCTGCCTTCTCAATCGTCTCTTGAGGGAAAAAGTTCATAACTCAACGTGATCTGAAAACGGCAGTCAGTGATTTCTTTGAGTCACAGCTTCTTGCCCTGTGCACAAAGGGCATCAGTGATTATCTCAAAGAATGAAAGAAGAATGTTAATCTCTCTGGTGAACATATTTCCGAAGTTTGATTGGTCTGGAAAACTTTGGAAATTGATTCAAAACTGCTCCCATTTAGTCGCAGGACATTCTTGGCAGCCTAATAAAATTTACCTTATAAAAATAGTGAGGTATGTGGGAATATAGGCTTGAAATATATACCACCCGTATCGTCGGCTGAAGACGAATGTCATAGTTAATTCATTCCAAACTCCTGCTGGATAGATCTGCAAGAGTATACTCGTCAGAATTCCAAAGGAACAATCAGCAATTAACCCGAGTGATGATACTAGAATGTACTGTGAGGTAATGAAGTAATGCAAATAGAGAAACCTGATGTTCAATTGAGGTTGTGTAGTTGCTGAGCACAAAATCTGGTAAAATTATCTCTTTCTTGAGAAGTGAAAGACCTTCTGTCCAATTAGTCCACTGCATGTCGACCTGTGCATATGATTGTCACCATCAATATTGACTATATTAGGCACTATTCAAATAGCTCGGTTAACGCCAGGCTCTCACTCCTTTTGTCCTGCAGTTGGGCAGTCGTATCCCTTCTAAACTCGAACGATCTGGGCCCGAGAGAATGGGAGCTGTGAATTTCTGGTAAAACACATACACGAATCCTGACACACTTCATGCTTGACTCGCCCCAAGATCAATCAGAATTCATGTAAGTTGGCTCACTCAATACATATTCCCACTTGGATGCGCTCTCTATTCGCGTGACGCCCATTTTGCGCACGCTAGCTCCTGTGGGTGAAGTCTAGTCCCACCACTTACTATCAGTATTTCCATCCTATCGCCTGTACCCCTCCAAATTTCAACATTCTAGGTCCAGGAAAAAAAATTTACATGCAATCCTACTGCCTGCACCCCTACCAAAGTTAAGCGCTCTAGGTCCAGTGGAATAGGAGTCATGGATCTTCGTTGAAACACACATATTTACACACACTGACACACATGCACACCGAAAGAGACACTGACCCACACATTCCACACATACGCACATATGGATATACACGCACACACACCACACACTTAGCACGTTATACATACATATATCGTTCGAATAGTCGGATATGATAGAACCTTTCCAGGAGAGTTTGCAAGAGCTGAAAAAGTGGCAATTTGGGGAAAATTCAATTTAACGGAATAACCTTCGGATCCACTATTAGCACATCAGACGCCTCTTCGCTGACAAAGCCCATGTATTAATTCTATCAGTCATGGAAGATAGCGCAAGAAATGACATTTATCAAAATCTGTATAGAAGTATTTCGGAGCCATGTTCGGCGTCTGATTCGAAGCGCTGGACAGTGCATCCGGCATCTTAGTAATTGTTTTTCTGGAATCGATCTAGTGGTACTGGACTTTCTTGGAAGAGTGAAGGCACTGCCTTGACCATCGGCTGACCTCCATAAGCCATTGTATAATATTTATAAATAGAATAAATGCGCTCCCGAACACCAGTACGATTCTGTATCAAAGGCACAGCACTCGATAAGAATGGCCCCTGAGATTTCTTCATAAGGAAAATCTGTAACGTCCAAGGATAGCACAAAGGCTTCTGTCGGGTCGAAAAACAACCCAGATAGGACGTGTTCAGGGCCCCCAGAAACGCCTTAGCCGACTTACACGCCAAAAGGCCACGAGTCCTGCTGGCGTTACATAGGCTGTAGAGGTTACGCCATTATAACCGGGACCCACGCGTTGCATGAAGACAGCATACTGTAGCTAGCTGTACGGCACACACACATTTGGACAGCTTGTCCAAATACACTTCCATGCAGCTCTTGCCGTCACATCCTCTTCCGACCCCAATTTTGCTACTTCTTCGAAACCTTATATTCATCAGAATACACCTATGCTTGCGTTTTCTCCGCCACTTCTGCATTATTCTAGACTATCGATTCCACTATTCGTATAAATTAAGTAGATGGCCCAAAATTATGTTGAACTGTGCTTTCAAATGAAAATGGGTGAGTGTGTCTCATAATAAAAAACGGAGTTGCTCAGTACTCATAAACTCTATTTTTGTCATCGAAAAAGATGTAAATACTCAGATCTATCGATACCATTTGAGAATACCTCTTGATTATTATAGCTGAACGATTCGAGGGTGAGATGACAGGACTGACGGTCCATTGGAAAGGCGCTATAAATGTGGATTAATTTGGAATTCGGAAATGTCCAGTGATCTTTGTCCTCTTTTACCTGAAATCCATTGAACAAGGCCCTTTCACTTGAACTCTGTAGTTTACCCACACAGTTCCATTTGGGTAAATCATAAGGAAGACATTTTTGAACGGTGACTTATGGATATGTGCCGATTTACTATTAATGAACACGGTATTTGGTTTCCAAATTTGATCCAGAATCTGAAAGAAAAACTTCAGAATCGTGCAATCATATTCTGCTCGAACACCTGAATTTCCAAGTTCCAATGAGAGGTAGGGAAATGTAGAACCGGAGAATATCAACGAGAAATTTGCCTACCAGTTGTCAGGTGTATGATACTTACATACAGTGATACACAAAAGTAGGGAATTCGCGGGAAACTTTCGAATTCTTACAGAACGTAGCTCGTATAGATCGATCTCGTACTATGTTTTTACTGATTCTTTCAGAAGTTTTCTTGTGAAGGGGCATATCCTGTGGTACTCCCGGCTGCCCCACAGAAAAGCGTCGAACGAGGCGCTTCCGAATCGCAGATAGTAACCATGATGGTCACCCACTCGACACAGTTCGCGATAATTCCCTGTGTTGCTGGCTTGCAGGGCTTTCCCGCCCCCGATCGATGTCACGTCAGACGAGTGTCGAGGCGATACAGATTGCATTTATTCGTCCTAGGACCCACACATAACCAGCTGATCGCCATGTGATGAGGCGATGTTTCTCTCCCACTCTTTTTCCCTCTGTTGTCCTTTCTGCTGCCGCGAACCCTTGTTTAATTGCCTACCCAAGAAGATGAGAAAGGTGAGCTATTTTTGCTGTTACTGGGATTTTTTTGTTTACTTATGCTTATAAGTGAATGATTTTTACCGTAGTCAGATATTCGCATTAGGACCCACACGTACGCAATGACCCACATTGTATATCTCGTCAAAACGCCCGTCAACCCTCTTTAATTTTCTAACCTCATTCTGCCCGACCCCCTTTTAAGCGATTTTTCAAAGTTTTTTTTTCACTTCAAGATTAAATCGAAGAAATAGTGATTCTCGGATGTTTCATCCAACTCGAAAACGCTGAGTTTGAGCAATAGGGATAGGGTCAGTTGTTGGACGATGTGGAAAGTATTTCGTTGCGTCTATTATCTCTTTTAGAAATCCTCTTGGACCAAGAATTGTGTTTAGATTTTCCCGAAGTTCCCAATACTACGACATGACTCACTTCTGGCAAGCATTAATTGGATGGCCCCTTATTGAGCCTTCTCATCAAATGCGTTGACTGTGAAATTATACTCAATCGGTCAGAGGAAATGCGAGGTGGAATTTATGAGCGAGTCTCCAGAGTCGCGTCAAACTCTAACTACAATTACAGTAATCACCCTTTGAAATCATACGGCAATTATTATCATTTCACGTATACATTTGGTACTAACTATCTAATTTTTCGACAGACGGCGTAGCGGCTATGATGCAGAGCGATCTGACATAAATTCTTACATCTGAGGAAAGGGAAAAGTACCGTAGTATGTTTCTAGAAGTTGTCAAAAATCGAACCTCTGAATTAAGTGATAGGTTGTATTTACATGGACTCATATGATCATATCGTAGAGCATGATCCATCCAAAGTTCCGTCACATAAATATCCATATCGAAGTCGCTAGTGATCTCGTTCACAGAATTCACTTCTTGGACCCACACCTCAGACAAATTTTTATTGAAGAAGCAAAAAATTTGCAGCCTAGTTACTAACGTACCTCAATCCACACTATCACACCCGTTTCAGATGGTGTCTTGAAGGATTTGTAATTATCGAGAAGGCGCTCAATGATAGTCTTATCACTAGTGCACATACCCATCTCTTCGTGTTCTTTTAGATGAACCTGAATGAGATTTTGAAATAATGAAGGGAACCCCGTTCACTACCGGTTTCATCTCCTTCCCCCCCCCCCGCCCCCCGTATCCAAGGGCGGAGGTGATGCACCATCTCAAACCCATGGTCACGGGTTGAAACCAGGGTTGATATACATCTAGGCCAACCAAGCATTCCATACCTCCGGGGCCTGTTACTTCGTGCCAGACTTGTATGGGAGGATAAAAAAAACTGGCTTGTACATCGGCTGGCCACTGCAAGTCATCCATCCCTCAGACGGGAACAATTAACGCCAGGAAGAATTTATTTTTTCTACCTCTCCGAATGCCATGCTTCTTTATTCAACCCATATTTCCCATCCTCTATCACTGCGTAGTTTTCCGTTATCATTCAGTGCTCGATGTGCTCATCTCAGAAACTATTCGAGTTCGTCATGATTCAGACTTTCTTTCTCCTATCCTCCTTTGTATAACGAGTTTATTGTTCACCACGAGAATTTTCACTGGAGTTCTCCCAGCGTTCGCACAAGAAAGGTATATTGTTTCAAAATGCATGATCGAATCCGAAAAAATGGGGCCACATAAGGCAGAAGCTTTGCTGGACGTTTACGACGTGTACGATGCCTCCAGCGTACTTTGCCATTCTGAACCATCTTTACGGTGGAAAATTATTTTACCAGCTCACCGTATGAGTGATTGATTGCGGGGTCACTAATGGTGGCATAACTCCTCTCTCCGCTGATAACGTGTTCTCCTAGAAAAAGACTTTGAAATTGTATAAATGTTCTTGAGTTTCCACTTCCGCTGTTTTTCGATACTGTACCTAAAAAAGGTGATGAATAAACTGATCAAAATGAAAGCCGAAACCCAGCCATCCCATATAGTCCTTATGCGCTTCTGTTCCTGTGTCTGTAATGTCTATATCCCTGCTTCCAGCATCTTTCGGAGCCTAACTGAAGGCTTGGCGAGATAAAAACCTCGACCACCGGAATCGAGGAGGCGACAAGTATGGAAAATTGCTGAAGCGGCAGCAAATGATGCTCTGAATTTCATAGGTTATGTGTACTTTTTGCTGATCATCGCGATTCCGGGGAAGTCATCAATATCGTTGATGGTAGCGTGGATCATGCGGCGTTGCTCTAGGACGCTCATAGGAAAGGCCTACAGGACAATGGTGAGGCCCGCAATGATCTGTGGCAGTTTGCGCTGGCCCATGAAGTAGGAGTTATGATGGGCAGATTCACTCCGCTGAGATGAGGATGCTCAGTTGAGCCTATAGTTGGACGTGACTGGACCTGATTAGAAACGAAGACGTCAGAGCGTTCATGCAAACAGTCCCTGTCCAGCACAAGATGTGAGAGAAGCATCTACGATGGTACGGACACGTTATGAGAGGACCACCAAATTATCCGATAAGGGAGGTAATGCTACGGATCTCCTCCACTGAGGGTTCTCTCTCACTGAAGGATCCCCAGCCGGTTAGTGACGAGGCTACGTAGGGCGTCCCCAGGTGGCGGATAGTGGAATTAATCGCCGACCAAAAGTCACCGGTACTTGCCCAGAGACGCAGGTGGATTCAGGGGATGGACTCCTTGATTCTGCTGTGCTGGGTCGATATGCCCTCTGTTTCTCGCAGGCGATCCACGCGAGTCACACTGGGAAGTATCTGGGAGGCGATTCGGGGCCGCCTCCAAAAACAAAGCCCCTTGTCCACTTCGAGATAGCCTGGCAAGCCCCCGGAGTCAATAGCCCCCACGTCAGAGCCTGGCAAGCTGCACGTTGGGCATTTTCATACCAAAAACAGTAATAGAAATGGGCCTCATTCCCCTGAACCTGAGGGAGCCTCAAATACGGCAGCATTGTGTAGGACCGCTCGGGAGAGGCTGCTAAAAACTCACGGCCAAAACAGGCTGCCCAAAAGGAGAGGGACTAGGATGGCGATCTGTACTTTCAACGCACGAACGCTTGCATCGGAAGCGTGTATAGAAGACCTGATGATGCAAGCTAGGAAGATCAAGTACGACGTCATCGGACTGATCGAGACGAGGAGGCATCGTCCGCTGCACGCGGTATTTGAGACTGGAGAAGAACTGTTCCTTGGAACATGCGACAGTAGAGGCGTCGGCGGCGTAGGTGTCCTCGTCGATACGCACTTGGCCATGAACATCGATTCGTACGAAAGCCTAACAACCCGAATCGGACGTTTGCGATTAAGAAGATGTGGCTCAATCCCAGCTCTAACCATCTTCGTTGCTTACGCACCAACATCGAGCTACGAAGAAGAGGAGTTGGAAGCGTTTTGAATGGATCTGGAGAAGCTCTACAGAGGAGACCACACTTTCTTCAAGGTCATCGTCGGTGATTTTAACGCCAAGATTGGCCCCAGAAGAACGGCTGAAGAGCTTCACATCTGGACTCACGGAGTGGAATGGAATGAGCAGGGCGATATCATGACGACCCACACCATCCATGGTAACTCGCAGTACCAGAAGCCCTCTCATTTAAGATGGACATGGGAGTCACCTGGTGGACAGTTCCATAATGAAATAGACCACATCATCTTCAATCGTAGATTTTGCCTGACCGACGTCGCTGTTGTTCCGAAGTTCTACAGGGGATCGGACCATCGTTTCCTCCGCGCTAGATTCTGCTTCTCAGTGCGTGGGGAGAGAGCTATGAAGTTTCGGAAACGAAGCCCAAAGACCTCCATCGACTGGGACCACTTCGCTTCCCTTGCGAGTAAATGGGAGAATTCCGTTATCGACAACATCGACGAAGAATACAACCGGCTCGTCGAGCATCTTCACGATAGTGCTACGAAAGAAGAGAGTCTACAAGTAGCCAAGAGACGACTTTCTTCGAAGACTCTCGAGCTGATACGCCTGCGTGGAATCGCGCTAGCTACAGGCAATTATCAACAAACGTCCGAACTTGCGAAGCTATGCAGAGAAGCGATAAAGGACGATATGAAAGAGAGAAGAGCAGCAGTCATGGACGAAGCCGCCGAGGCCGGAAAGAGCATTCGCAAAGCCCGACGGAGCTTCGGCAATTATAAGACCAAGATGACCTCCCTTCGTCGTCCTGACGGAACCGTTACTGCATCCCGGAGGGCAATGGAGAAGGTCATTAACGACTTTTACTCGGATCTCTTCGACAGCCACATCTACCTNGGCTCACCTTTTCGACACTGCTGTCCTTCCTGATTTGACGTACGCCTCGGAGACCTGGACTCTACGAAAGCAGGATGAGCATGCTGTCAGCGTTACTCAACGCGCTTTGGAAAGGACGAATCTCGGAATTTCCCTATACACGCAAGTGCAGAAGGGAATCCGGAGTTCCGAGCTCCGTCACCGAACGAAGATCAGGGATGCCGTTGATCACGCCAAGAAATCGAAGATCAGGTGGGCCGGACACGTTATGCGATATAGTGATGACCGTTGGACCAGGGCGGTTACTGACTGGATCCCTCGGGACATCAAACGAACTCCAGGAAGGCCGCCAACGAGATGGTCAGACTTCTTCACGAAAGCTCTGAACGAAAGGAATGTTGAACCTCGTGTCTCTGAAGCGAGAACGATTCACTGGACCACTCTGGCTCGTGACAGGGACGAATGGAGACGTTACTGGCGCCCGCTCGAGGAAGTCGATGATCAACGGGACGACAGGTGATACAGGTGTAGGGAGGTAATGGAATTGGAGGCTCAAGGGAAGCGATCACGCGGAACCTCGAAGAAAAGGTGGCGGGAGGTAATCAGTAAGGACCTCGCCGAAGCTAAAGTAACGGCAGAGGATGCCGTAGATAGAAGGAAGTGGAGACTACTGACAAGAGTAGCAGATCCTGCAGCGGCGGGGATTGAAGGTAGGAAGGAGGAGAGATCAAAATGGGACCCTCGCTGTATGTTCTTTCAACCATCGACCGGAGATTGAAGAGGGTGTCTTGGTGGGTACTGGGTGGTGTCTAAAATAGTTCCTGACCTAGAGCCACACCATTTGTTCGTTCTATTACGTGCGGAATTCTTACATGAACGGCAAAATGATATAAAACTAACATCCCAGATGTTTGTATAGAAGGAGATGTCGTACCTGTGAGGGGCTCACCGTAGACAGTGATGATACAGCTACCGCAGCTGTACACAAAAAAACAAGCTGACAGCACATTGGCTTACCATTGAAACATTCCTGAATGAATCTCTTCTGTGCTGATAAATTCAAAAGAAAATATTCGTAAATGATGGATAATGAAAAACGAAGTGTGAAGTGGTTGAGTCACTTCAAGGGAGAAATAGCGAGTAGATCTGTGGCGACGAACCTATGATACTCCGAGTTTATAAAATGTGAAGAGGAAATCTTCGAGGAAAGAGTATTGTATTACGTTATGTACAGTCATGAAAGAAGTATTGTATTACAACGTGTACGCAATTCAAATGTACTGTACATTCAAAAAGTGCCATGAGCAAACGTCAGAAATGAAAGGAGTTTGGGCGAAATCAGCAATCGGATGCAGCAGGAGATACGCGATTACGAGTCCATTCTGAAAGCACAATTAACGATAACTCTGTGTTGAGTCCAAAACAGAACGCGGTATGTATGTATGTATGTATGTATGTATGTATGTATGTATGTATGTATGTATGTATGTTTGTTTGTCTGTCAAACAATCCGGTTTTAGTCTGGACAAATTCGGGATGGGTGGAGCCCAAGACAAAATTAATAGTGCACATACGAGCTCTGCGGAGCTCGCACACGGGGGCGGGGCAAGTGCCGGAATGGACGGTGCCAACAGTCAAACATCCTATTTTTGCTTCGAAAAAGTCCAGACATCGGGGAAAAATGTTTAAAGGTGAGGACTGGGTCAACAAACCACAAGGAGGAGACCCGCGTGCTGTGGGCGGAGCTTTCTCGGAATCAGCGGTATTTTTTCAGATTTACTCATAATTCGATTCAATTAACGCGTAGAGGCCAGGACAAAATAAAAAGAGTGAGCAAAGTCTCATGCGTGCTGGGCATGCGTGAGCTTAGCGAAATCCAGCCCACATGGTCGGAGCGTGGGTTGAGACGAAAGCCGCCTCACGAAAAATGAATGCAACTTTGCTTGGAAACGTTCTAGAATGCGGGAAAAAATGGTTGGAGTAATGGAACAAATGCGGCCAGTGGGCGGGGTTGGCACTAAAGTGGGCGAAGTTGGGACCAAAATTAGATCATAAAATTTATAATTCTGCGGCAAAAAGCTGTTAGCGTGTAAAAGAACAAGTGCGATCAAATTCTAGAAATAGGCGGAATGGCACAAAAGTGGGCGTGGCTCACATCAAAATTTATAACTCTATTCAGAAACGTTGTGGGAT